AAGAGCATAAAGTCTAGCGCAATTAGTAATAGGCGGAATAAGTGATTTCTTCAACTGAGTTGGCAGAATGTGGGAAGATTTAATAGCACTTTTTACTTTCATGAGGTCCGAAGTTGAAGGATCTTTAGGGCTTTTTAGCAACATTCACTTTGTTTCATGACAAAATTCTACAAAAACCCATTGTGGGGAGAGAACACATATTATTTTCTTTTTGTGAATAAGTTTTTGTCGGTTTTCATAATTTTGTCACTATCATCAATTTTAATGTTATAATGAGGTAACAAGAAATTGTCACATATATTGAAGAGCTAAAACATTATGACCACCAACTCAGTAACGTGTTACCTGACTTTTGGCCTGCGAAACAGCTGCAGCTCATCTTGGCATGCATGCTTCAAGTTCTTGGAAATGACTGGAGGCAGGTTGTATAAAATGTTTAAGCAGCGGTCATAATATAAGTCGAGATATTCTGACGTGGAGGTGTTTGAGCTCTGAGCTGTGGCTCTGTGACATTCCAAATGTGTTCTGTAGGTTTAAGATCTGGTGATTTAGGTGGCCAGGGCATAATTTAAGCCTTGTGACATGGGGTGTGGTCCTGCCGGAAGATTCCATTTGGGAAGGCAGACACCATATAGGGGTGCAGCTGATCCGCAATTATATTCAGATAGTCCGAAGCTTTCATGGTCTATTCTATCACAAATAAGTGCCCCATAGCTGCCCATGAGAACATCTCCCAAAGCATAATACCATCAACACCAGCCTGTATATGACCTGCTGTGCTGGGGGGGGGGGGCAAATGTTCACCTGGAGAACAGTGTACCGTGACACAGTCATTGACATGATGAATGAGAAATCGCCATTCATCTGACTAGGTAACTGTCTTCCGCTTATCTATGGTCCAATCTTGAAGTTCTAGGCCAACTTTAGGTGTAGTTGACAATGACACTACACGCCACATGCAGGTGCAGAAGTGGAACATCTGCTGCTCAGTCCCATATCCAACGGTTCCATTGAACTGTGTGTTCCGAAGCACTTGCACTTAGACCTGCATTGTCTAAGTGCAAGTGTGTCAGCTGAGCCAGTGTCTGGCACCGATTTTTCTGTACCAAGTGAGACAGTCTCTGTCTTTTTTCTTTCATGACACATGGACGTCCAGCACCTATGTGTCTACTGCTGGTTTCACTGTCATGTATCCACTTTGCATAAATACTATTAATGGCAGATTTTGAACAACCTACCAGTCGTGCAAATTCAGAGGTACTCATTTTGAGTCTTTGGGCCTTGCTTAGACCAGCAGACTTTCTCATCATTCGCAAAAGTAAATGCAAGAATGATTCCTTGCTTTCTCCAACAGTAGTTAAATACCATTCCCACTTAATCATGTGCCCTCCACGTCATCCAGGTGAGTTCATTAAAAAATGTGGCAATGATCAGATTACTTTGGCTTGTCAGTGTATGTTCCAATTAACCTATGAGTTATGATTCATTTCATCTAAGCTTTGTTGATTTGCTAAATTTTGACACTATAAGCAAATTAATGATGTGACAGTTACAAAAGGAATGTGTGATCCAACAAATTATGTGTGCACTCTGACTTGATTTTCTTCCTGGCATGATTAAAGGCTGTATAGCCACTTCAGCCTGAAATCTCATTTTGATTTCATGTAGTGTTTATTCAAACGCAACTCTTTTTGTGAAGAAGTCTTTTTTTTTTTTTTTTTAAAGAAACGGGACAGCTGCTGCTTCATTTTTTGCCAAATCTTAGGTCATAAAAGCCATTGTAGTAAATATTTGGGTAATAAAATATATAAAAATATATAAAATAAAAAATTAAATGATAGATAAATTATAAAAAATGTAATAAATAGAAAATATAAAAAAATGATTAGGTAAAAAACATTATGTGAGAAGTGGCTGTAAAGACAGTTATTGCCAGAAAAGAAGTCGAACCATTTTGGCAACTTTGGTCACTTTAATAAGAAAGTGCCTGAATTTTTAACGTTTATTGCTATTTTATTATTTAATGATACTCTTAAAAATGTTGACTGTGTGTATAATTTTTTACTTAACGTGGCATTCAAAGCTGAATAACATGTCAAAATTGTATCAAAATTTCACAAATTTTCATGATTTATTATAGTTTAGGATAGAAAGCAAATATATACTAATTGATAAATAAAATATCCACTTTGGCCTTTTGTACTTTCTTGTACAAAGTAAAAAGGAAGTATTGTAATCGTGAAAAATTTTGAGTGTCATATTTCAACAAAAATATCTATTTTGATTGCTATTGAATGCAATTTAATTACGTTTTTGAGTGACATCTTTATGTAAGGGCAGAATAAAGGACTCTTTTCCTCCCAAAAAATTATGAAACTCATTTCAAATGATTCTGAAGAGATTTTTTTCGTGGTGTCTGTACATACGTATCTCACATAACTAAAAAAGGATTACCCTCAGAATGTTGAAATTTTGCATGTAGGACTGCTACAACATGTAGATGTGCACCTTATATTTTGGATGCAATTGGCCACCAAAAGTATATAAATATTTAGCTTTATATGAATAGGGAATATTTTTAAATATATGTATATATATATATATCCACTTTGTTACTAGGCTCAGTGAGCTCAGTTTCTTTATTCTTATGTTTGTAAATTGTGCTTTTTTTTTCCCTTTAAAAATGATTGAATTATGTTGTTCTGGTTAAGATTTTTATGCTTTTAGTTAACCTGCATGCAATTGTGGAATTATCAACAATAGAAAAAATTTTTAAGTGCAGCGAAGTCTAATTTTCGATTACCATGGCGGCCAAGTTTGTTTACTTTTGAAACAGCAGAATAGTGGATTTGTTGCCAATCTAGAGAAACTAAGCTTTGAAACAACAAGGATAACACCTTCATTTATTATTCTGAATTAAATTATGCTTAATTCATTCTGGAATTTATTCGAGAAAATAAGTGTTTAAGATTTACCTTGTAATTTTTAATATAGATATTGAGTTTTTATGTATTTTTGCCCTGTCGCAAAGTGAGAACTGAATTAATTGAATGAGAAATACTGAATTGTCTTTGAAAAAATGTGTCTTTCTCACCCATTTGTTTAATTTCTTTTATACATCGTTTTAGATTTATTATAGTATTTGAACAGAACATGTGGCAGCGATTGGATAATTCTTCAGGTGATATAAATTTTGTGCATTCCGAGTTATAAAATGAATGAAAGTGAACTTAGCGCCAGAGTGTCACTATGATAAATAAATATAGTGAATTTTTAAAGACTACATTTTTTATATTTGTGGTTTATGTGCTATCAATGAAGTAGATTTAATTCAATCCAATAAGTTTAAATGAAATGCAAGGAAAAAATGCGTATAATTTAATATTTCGTACAAGGAAGTCATATGGTACCCATAGATTTTTAAGTTTTACAACAATTATAGTTTTCCCTCCCCTTTGGTTCCGGGGAGTCTATAGTATTACACTGGTTATCATAAATTAAGGAAAAATCACAAAAATCACGATTACTCAAAAAGTTACATGTAGAACTTAACTTACCTACAATATACAACACATAGTAAGGTATCAAATAACATAAAAAGAAATTACCAGACAAATATGGTAGTATAGAAATTAGCACATGTATAAAATGAACAAATCAAAGGTGTCAGTTTCTATAGGAAAAGTTACCTTCAGTATGGAATATGATCACCTCTAGAAGCAATACAGCACATACAGCGATGTGTGATGCTTTCAATTATGCGGTCTATCAGTTCCATAGGAAGCGAGAGCCATTGCTCTTGCAAAGCAGTTGCAAGTACAACAAGGGTCTGAGGGGGCAGATTGAGAGCAGCTAGACGTCTCCCTAAAGCATCCCAAATGTGCTCGATAGGATTCAAGTCTGGTGATCGAGCTGGCCACTCCTTGAGCATAATTGTTTCCTGTTGAAGATAATCATCTATGGTGCGAGCCCTGTGTGGTCTTGCGTTGTTGTATTTTAACAGGAAAGCATCACCTATTGCCCCAGCATATCGGCGCACATAAACGTCAAGGATGTCATCTCTATAAATCTGACCATTCACGGTTCCCTTGGAAAGACATGGAAGTCTCTGCGTCCACCCAAAGAGATGCCACCCCAAACACAGACACTGCCCCTTCCGTATGCATCTCTTTCACGGATATTTGACAGATGATAATGGGTTCTATGTTCTCTCCATATCAAATAGCACGTACTATCGCTTTCTAGACTAAACCTGGACTCATCTGTAAAGAGAACCACCCTCCATTGATCAGGCGTCTAGTGGACATGTTGTCGTGCCCACTGAAAACGGTCCCTTCTATGGCGTGACGTGATGGCTGGTCGTCTCGCATACAGACCACCTTCGTGAAGCCTTCTACGCACAGTTGACGTTGGCATAAACCTTTCGGTGGCTGCGGCAAGGAGGATCTAAGAAGAGTCGGAGTAGCGGTTCTATTCCTGCGTGCACATAATGTCAAATATTGGTCATCGGCGCTCGTCGTAGCAGTTGGCCGTCCTTGGCTGAACATCTATGAACCACATGACTGACATTTAGCCATCTGGCCACTTCTGTTTGACTTTGTCCTGCCTCTAGTCTCCCAATGGCTCTCCATCGCAGTTCTGCAGGCAAATGATGCCTGGAGGTCATCGTTGCGAATTGGCTATCTCAAATTTCTGATGTCACTGTCACAGTGAAATATGTTAGCTTGCTCTCAAACATGGACTTTTATGCTCCTCGCGGATGACGTATTCCGAAAGCAGCACCACTAATTTGCATATCGCAGTTTTACTCAGCTACTCTTACTTGGCAACATATTAAAATTTTCACAGTTTGGCTTATTTTAGAGAGAGTTATCACTATTTTGTGATTTTTCCTTAATTTATGATAACCAGTGTATATAAAAAATATGCTATATATTGTTATAAATTGTTGCAGATATTTAAGGAAATTTTTATTAATAAATTCTATTTTATTTCTTTAGGTGGATGTTTTGGACTGATTGGGGAGAATCACCTAAAATTGAAAAAGCTAGTATGGATGGTAATCAAACTACCAGAAAAGTAATAGTGAGCACTAACATATTTTGGCCAAATGGTATTGCTGCTGATTATGATACAAAAAGGTAAATACTGAAGTTTCAGATCGACTTTTGTTGTATTTTCAGTCTATTAAACATTTTCTGGGAGCTTTCTAAATCATAGTTGTCTTTGTGCACACATTATAGTTTGATCAGTGAATTCAAAAATTTAATATCTTCATTAACACAGTTAAAACCTCATTAACATAAATATTCATCATGGGAAAAGAACCATGTTAAAATTAGCCATCTGAAAACGGTTTAATGAGAGAGTGAACAAGAATAAAAATATATAGTATACATGTAATTTTAAAGAAAGCATGTTCTGTATACTGTACAGATCAATTTCCCAAACCTTTTGATTCATGAAACCCTTTTTAGAATTCACTCCTGTAGTGGAGTTTCTTAGGTCCATCATATGTCTTTCAAGTTGATGCTTTAAGAATGATATGATATGGAAAGTTTAGAGTATTTGAATAGGCAAAACACACTAGGACTATGTCTGTTACATGAGTTAGAAATGGGCATAGATACTATAATGCAAAGAAGTAGATAAACAGTTTTTCTGTAGTTAAGGAAATTACATTATAAATTTTTAACCTTACCATAACATTTCAATTTGTTCTCAACACGATATTGTCAAAAGTTGGCCAAACACAAAGGTTCTTCCAAGTTTTAATAAAACATGCCTGTTGTTTAATAAATAACTTACAAGTTCGAAAAAAACAGACGACACATTTTAACACACCAACATTTTATTCTCCGCATCTACTATATACAAATTTACAACACAACTGTAAGAAAATTAAGGTGCAGCTGAAATGTATATGTGCATGTGCAGCGATGTCTCCTTTTCGTCTGCCAAGTATGGGAGGAAGCAATAATGCTCTCTTCGCAGAGGGGGGGGGGATGTGATCTGTTTGCCACATTTCTCCCACCTTTTGAGTGAGTAATACAATAATAATCACTCAAAACATAAATCTTACTTCAATATAAATCAGGGTTAACAAAGAAAATTACTTAATACTTGAATCATACTACTTGAAAACAAAATTAATACTGAGGAATAATACAACAATAATAGCACAACAAAATAAATCATAATAACTCAAAGACATTAATTACATTTGTGATTTTACGACTGTACTGCTACTGATGGTGAAAGGAACTTGATCACCTTGAATGTTATCTACTATATTATCCAGTTCCAATCCAAACAATCTCTGTATTGGTCTCAAGAACTCTGAACAGTCGACAAATGCTCTGAATCGTCTTAGCTTATCATCTGTTTCACCATTAAGTGTCTCTTTTTGTATTAATAACATTAAAGCAATTTCTCCCCTTTCTATTTCAGATACAGTTAAATCCTTAGAATGGTTGTTATTATTATTCTTAGGTACATTATTATAAAATCTGAATATCCATGATAACGTTCTTACAATTTTCTTAAATGATGAGAAATACTTATAGTACCATCTTTACCAGTGTAACAATATTATAGTATTATAGTATCATTCTTTACCAGCGTAACAATAACTGTCTTACGTATTTCTGAATTAACTAAATCCTCATCTGGTTCATCATTAGATTTAGGCCAATTTGCCTCATCTTCCAGTAACCAATCAGGTCCCTCCTGCCATTTTCGTTCTATTAATTGATCTGCATAACAACCTCTAGAAAGTACGTCAGCCAGATTGAGACTACCACGGACATGTTGCCATATAGTGGGGAAGGTCAAAGATCTGATTTCCTGTACACGATTTAAAAACGAATGCTCGCCAACGTTGATTTTTCACTATATCCAACTTAAAGCCTGTCAAGGAGTCAGTCCAACAAGTGAATATGAACTTCATGTAGGCCAATATCATTAATAACTGAAGACAATAACCTAGAACCAATATTACAAGCAAGAAGTTCTAATCGAGGAATCGTAATAGGTTTTAAAGGCACTACTCTTGATCTTGCATGTACCAAACTTACCTTTACCTTTTTGTCCATTCTGTACTCTTAAAAAGATGCATGCACCATACGCACTTTTACTACTGTCACAAAAGAGATGCGTACACACAGCTTCATTAATAGATTTGAGACATACCCATCTAGGTATTTGGATACTTTATAGCAAGTACAACTTTTTACACCAAAAGGTAAATTCTTTGGTTAATTAATCGGGAAGAACATCATCCCATTTAAGCCTTAAATTCCAAGTTTCCTGTAAAATTAGTTTTGGAATCAACATTACAGGAGTCGTATGTCCTATAACGTCAAACACATGATGAGCTACTGCTAAAACTAGTCTTTTATTTACTGGGTCATCCGATTTTATATCTTGACTTATTTTGCAAGATAAGGTATCTGTATCTGTATGCCATACAAGGCTCAAAACAGACACATCTCCTTCCGCGGAGGAATCTTCCTCTGGCACAACACTTCTTATATTAGATTTCCAGGATCTTAAATTAAAATGACCGAAGCCATAATTATTTGTAATTCATTTACAAACTTTCTCATTTCTACTTCTGAATTCATACTAGCCACACAGTTGTCTGCATAAAAGGGTGTTTTCAAAATCTCTGCTGTATGACTAAGTTTTCAGGAACTGCACTCAAATGATGTAGTACTGTAGTGGCCAATAAATATACGGACTAACACGTAATACCAAAAACTACCCTTCTATGCCCGATACAGTTCAACTTGTTCTTGATTATCCATACTGATGAACCATACAAATCTCAAAAAGTCTCTGTCTTTATCCCTTATAGATATTTGCAAGAATGCTTTTTCTATATCTGAAGTGACACCAACGTAATTCTTGCAAAACTGATTAAGAATTGAAGGTGTAATTTCAATTAAATTTGGTCTAGTAGATAAACAATCGTTCAATGATGGGTACCCAGGCGAATGAGAACTTGCATTAAACACTGGTTTTATACTCGTGCTACTATTTTCTTTTACAATCTGCTCTATGAGGCAAATAATGTAAACCCTTATATTTATTCTTATCCGGTACTTTTCAATTATCCGAGTGCTAACCAGTTCTGGAAAACATCTCCGTAAGCGATCAAAATTTCCCGTAGTCATTAATTTTCTTTTAGTACTTACAAGACATTTTTCTGCTATCACTTTGTTTTTCGGGTAAAAGCGAGCTATCCTGACACCCAAGGTAATGCTACTTCGTACCACTTCCGTCTGAATTTACCATAAGAGTCTCTTCAAAATATTTTTGCGTATCTTCCTGTAACTGAGTTTTGGTTTTACTTACGGAAGGTTACTGATACCGAAAACATCTAACTTGCCAGAGAATCATTGATACATTGACCAAACTTCACCAACAGAGAAGAATTTAGGAGAGATGCAGTATTTACCATAGTTGGCTCAATGCCAGTAAATTTACCCATAACAGTCCAGCTTTAACGGTGTATGCACTGCGCTGACGGCACACGTAAGGGGAAAAATTTTTCCATTTAGCAACTTACCAGCAGAATCTGCACCAATTAATAATTTTATCTCTTTATCGACATCGCATGGACCAATTTCTAAATCTCTTAATTTAATACCATGTGACTTAAGCAACCTTACTTACGGCAACCCTACATGTTATACGTAGTTTTGTAAAAAGAGCATGTGGAGATTCACAAAATTTTCCTGCATTTTCGTGCAAATTTTTGTAATTTATGAGAAAATAGCAGTATACATGGATAAAGTGAAGAGTGTGCGCAATGCCATTTTGTGCAATTCTGGGATGTTTTTTAAGTAAAAATAAGTCGACGTGTACATGGTTATGGCGAATACGGTTTTTAATCAGTGCTAAAAGCAATAGCCAAAAGATTTCCGCCGAAAAATAATTCTGCAACTTATTCAAATTCGAAACGGAAGAGTTTAATTGCTATTTTATATTTTAAAAGAAAATAATATAAAAAACTGTATTAAAAATGATCTGTAATTAATAAATGTACATTTTCTTTCTATTCATACTTTTTTACTCAAACTTACAAATAGCGTCAAAACTTACGAATAGCGTCAACCTGGTTGCGATAATACGTAAGTACCAACGTCTCTCACAGCCCCACCTGTGCATCAGTGGAGAATGCACATAAGGCATGAGTGATGCATATGTGCATTTTAAGCCGAAACATTTTTCAAAGACCACTAGATTGGTACCTACTTGACAGTCTGTCAGAATTTACACCGGGTTGTGTAGACCTTGTGTATGTGTTTCCATTGCCGAAAAAATTCCAGAACTCAAAATGTGCATTTCTAATGTGTTTGCATTGGTTATTCCAGATATACTTCAAAATGTATGGCGTGAAATGGACTAGCACTTGGATAATGTCCGTGTCACCAAGGGGAGTGACGTAGAACATTCATAAAGGATGTAAACAAAATTTTGAAAGTCTGTTTACATTCTCATCAATAAATTCTGTACAATTAAATTGTTATAGCCATTTTTAATTACTATATTCATTTTAAATCACTCTGTATAATAATTCTGGGAGGATGTTTGTTTTACAACAGATGTTTTACATTATTCTTGAATGTATTTAATGTCCTTACAGTAAATTTGATTTCTGTAAATTAAATCATTACATGCAGTTTAATTTAAACACATAATTGCTCATTGCTTGTTATTACTCATTATAGGAGACAATTACAATTTAATTTTATTATTATGTAAAAATAGTGTGCTGTGGGCAAATAATAGGACATAACGTAAAAAAATATAAAATCATTTAACGAGACCAGTGGTTACTTTTTTTGTGCACATATCAATGACCCTTGACATCCAACTTAAGAGTACAGCAGGAGGAACTCATGGTAGCTTCTGATATTTTTCACACATTAGTATGTAGAGTGTATTTTTAAGAGATTGGAGTTTTATACAGGGTGTAATTTTTACTATCACCTTTATTAATGAACACTTATTAGTTACACAGCTAAACTCCTAAAGAAATCAAATAACAAAACAATTTGCAGAAGATATTGCTAAGAAATCATGATAACTTTCAGTGTTATTTGACTCCAAATTGACAAACCATCTATATTTA